CAGCAGGAAAACATCCCTGGCGCTGGGACAGGCGCACGTTCTCAGCTCTCTGGCAGAGGTCTTGCCTGGCAGGGCAGCGAGGGTCTGTAACCCTGTCGGCCCCGACTGGGCCAGGCTGGTCCAGCCCCTCGAGGCCTCTGGGGGCCACTCGGGCTGCCTGCCCCAGGGCCCAAGGGGCCAAGATGGCCGTGAAGGTTACCCCACCCCTGCCCCCCACCCTTGGCCTAACCCCTGCTAAAGACACCCAGCTGCTGGGGCCGGGAAGGCACGGGGTCAGGGGCCCAGGCCATGGGCGGGGTGGGCGGGAGGGACTGATTGTCTCATCCTGCGACTCAGATCTGTGTCTTAAGCCCCTCCCAGGAGCCAGACCCAGCAGACACCCCTTCAGCCTGGGCCATCCCCTCGGGAAGCCCCCCTCCCAGACCAGAGGCTTGCTCTGGACCCAAGACCCTCTGGTCTGAAGCCCACCCAGGCCTCCAAAGCCCCTGCCCCTGGACCAGTCCCCCCGCCCCCCTTCCCCAGGCACTTCCCGTGAATCACTCAGGCTGGAATCTGATGAGCTCAGGCCTCCCCGCCCAGTGCTGCCGGCCTCTGCCTTCTGCCTGGCCAGTGGGGTCACCACGCCCCCACGAGGGTCTTCTCAGCAACTCCGAGCCCCCACCAGGGTCCACCATGGGGTGGGGTAGCTGAGTGGTGGCAGGGATAGGCCACGGCAGGGGGTGAGATTAGTCAGGAGAAGGACTTGGACCTCTTTTGCATCATCAAATATACAAAAAAGTATGTGTGTCATTACGTTGTCTGTGTATCTCTGTGTGTGTCTGCACTTGTCTCTGAGTTTGTGTGTGTGTGTCTGCACTTCCACACCTGTGCAGCGTGGGAAGCAGCAGACGTGTCCGAGAGGGGGCCTTGGGTGTGTCAGCGGCAGTCCTGCAGGGGTAGGTGTAAGCGTGCCATGGGAGTCCTTGTGGAGCAGGTCACCACATGTCTCTGTGTTGGCCTGTCTCCATGTATGTGTGTCAGGGTGTCACATTCTGAACCCGAGAGGGAGAGTGTGAGGGATTTTTTGAGTTTGCAGATCTAGGGATGTCTGCGTCAGGGTGTGGCTCAGAGGAGGGGTCAATGTGTGTCACTGTGTCCCATCCTGCAGGGCATGAATGGCTAACAGTGTCAGGGTGTCCTAACACTCTGGGTGTTCCTGTTAAGGGTGGCGGTGCTCAGGCTTCACTGTAGGTAACCCTGGCAGGGCAGGGTGTCACACAGCCTGTGTGCAAATGTGAGTCACGGTGTTTGCGTGTTAAGTTGTGGGCATGAAGGCGGTCACAAGGCCATGGCGGGGAGTTAATTGCTTGGTGTTGAAGTTGAGTCAGGGTGTTGTGGGTCTCAATGACCGCTTTCCTCGCCACCCTGGCAGGGTCCTCTCTCAGGCCACCCCACAGGCCTGGCTCCTGAGCCTGCCTGGCCAGAGAGCCCTGGGGGCAAGAGGCCGCTCTCTCATTCCCTTCCCAACCTCCATTAGCAGGATCCCCATTCGCAGGATGGTCCCAGGGCCCTTCCTGGCACCAGGCCCCGCACAGGTCCTCTGAATGCCCTGGGTCCCCGGGTGGCCTCAGGAGAGAAGGGAACCTGGCATGTGACTGGGAGTGGGGCACACCCGCCCCCTGGTGGCAGCAATGGAGGATGTGCCGCCCCATGTCCCAAGCCATGGGATGAACAGTTAGGCTGAGTCTTCAATCACTCCATATATATTTACTACATGCCAGTTCCGGGCCAGGCATTGGTCTAGGCCCCCAAGATTCAGCAGGGAACAAGGCCGACTTGGCTCTGGCCTTCTAGTGAGGAAGACAGACAATAAACAAACTCACACAGGGAACTACTGTGAGGTGATAAGTGCAACATTTCCAAGTGAGGAAATGACTCTGCTGCTCCTCCAGAGATCCAAGCATCAGGGTTCCAGCCCTGCCCTGCAGCAGTGGATGCTGGAAATGGCACGGCACCTCTCAGAGCCCTGACTTCCTCTTCCAGAAGGCCAAAGGTGGAAGGCAGTAGTGGGAGTGGGGGGGTGGGCAGTACAGAGTCCGAGCGCACAGTAGGCTGTTACTGCCCAGATCACAGCTGTCTCCCTCTGGCTGGGGCTGCGGGTGCTTGGTCCATACGGACACAACAGATTGCTGAGTGGATGAGTAAACAACTCCTTCTGTTTTGGAGGATTGCAGAATCCGAAGCTCCACGGAACCTGGTGTCTGAGTCCTCTGCCCTGTAACAAGCCACTTTGCCTGAGCAAGCCTCAGTTTCCTCATCTATAAAATGGGGACAATAAGATCAGTTCTAGACCAGCCTGTCATTGCCTGCCCTGCCTGGAGCCCCAACCCCTGTCTCATGACCCTTGGTCATGTTGATTTATCTGGCCGGGACCCCTAACCCATCAGAATTTCTTCAGAAGGTAAACCAGAAGATTCAGGGAGCAGGCAGGGCCTGGCAGTGCTCCAGTGAGCCACTGCTGGGGGCATGCTGAATTCTCAGAGCCAGGAATTAAGACTGAGCATGGGAAGGAGGTGGGAAGGGCTTGCAGAGGCCCCCTCGCTGGGGCCCAGAAGCCTCAGCCAGTCCTAGTCCCCATGAGACCAGCTCTTCATCCGGCCCTGGGGTTCTCTGAACACCCCCTGCAACCATTCCAGGTCCTTCCTCTGAGACTGAACTTGAGACATCCTGTGTTTGGTTCCCAGAACCCAGCCCTCCCTTCACCTCCCACCCCACTGCCCTTCGCTCTTAGTTATCAAACTTCAATTAGTGGACAATATTTATTGAGCGCCTGTGGAGTGCCCAGCACTGTACAGGGCACTCGGGTGGGTGCGGGACTGGGGGGGACATACAAAAGAGTGAAGGGAGACTCCCCACCAGCGAGAAGCTTGTGGGGGGCGGGTAGAAGTGAGGGAAGTTAGTGCTGCTGATGGCCTAGTGAGAAATTTGGGAGCCCTGCAACCTGGGCTGTATCTGGAGGGTCTGAAATCCCAATGTCCAGGATTTCTACCTTCCAGCTGTCATGTCTGACATATGAGCCGATGTCCCTTTGTGCTCAGTGTCTGAGAGAGCACCTCAGAGACTGGCTAGGGTCCTCCTTCCACCAGGGGCTAGTTCCTTCCCAGGGAGTGGTCCCCTGAGGCTGGCCTCATTCAGACCCCTGACTCCAAGACAGCTGAGGGCCAGAGGTCTTGGCCCTGGCACTGTCCCCAAGTTGCCTGGCAGCTGCCAGACTGCAAACCCCGTGACCACCTACACTGTCGCTGCCCTGGAGCTGCGTTCGTCCATCAGGTCACCCTCTCAGCAGCTTCCTGAGCCATGTGCACCCCCTTGTGGTTGTTGCTGGTATTTTCTTTGCTCATTTGTTGCCTGATCTGGGCCTCCCTTTGGGGTCTACTGGACCTTGAGGGTTAATTTACTGGTGGTTTAGAACACAAGGAGTAGCTGGAACCTGACCCCTGGTTTGGGTGTGGGTATCCCAATGGCCTCCTGTGTGGTGTCTTAGGAGTCACTTTCCCAAGCCTCAGTGAGTTAAAAGCCAGGCCCTGTGTCCCATAAAGCTCTTGTGAGGTCCCAGAGAGTCAAGGGCAGAGATGATTTCCGAATCCTCACCTCACTTCAGAAGCCTGTCTCCTCTGTCCCATTCCTTTGGGACATCACAGTGCCTGGGAGGACTTCCCATCTTTGGGAAAGACCAGAACATGGGTGTTCTCTCAGCTGGACCCAACCCAGTCCCCAGGGCTGCCTGGAGAGCCTCTCCCTTCCGTGAGAGTGAAGAACAGACCCTTGGAGAGGTGTGTGTATGTGTGTTGCTAGCATCCAACCTCCTTCCCTCCCCTTTCCCCTAGTCTGAGCTCTGCTTTGCCACAAAACCATCCATTCTGACCCATGGAAGACTTCTGGGAGAAGGTAGGGCAGTAGTAGCACCCCAACTTCACAGATGAGGACACTGATGTTTGGAGGTGCTCGGCCTCCAGGTGGTCTGGGCAGCACTGGGCCCCGACATCTTGCTGCCTCCCCAAATCCTCCTGACACCCAGGAGTGGGTGGGGCCTTTCAGGGCCTTGAAGCCCCACCCTCCACTGCCAGAGGTCGGGCCCCTGTTGGATGTGTCCCCTGTCGGGCACACTCACCACTGCGGGACGGCTGGCCTCCGGCTGGGGGAGAAGGATGAGAGGCCAAGGGGCCTTAGGCCCTTCGTCTGGGGCCCCCCCAAAACCCCCTGCGCTTTACTTCAGTGCCCAGATGTGGCCAGTCCAGGCACCTCCCAGCAGGTGTGATCAGAGGGCTAGACAGTCAGAGGAGGTGGCAGACACGGAGCGGCCCGGGGTGGGGAAGACTAGGGGGCTGTGCCTTGGCCAGTGGGGCGGATGGCTCTGAAAGGCCTTCCCAGCAGGCTCGGAGTTTTCTGCCCCAAATGGCCCTTCTGCCCACTCCCAGCTACTCCTCTGCTGCCTGGCTTCCCTCAGCCTCTGGCCCCCTTGGCTGAGCAGGGCCTCCCCTGGCCTGGTCCTCGCCCCCCTCGGCCATCGTCTCAGACTCTCCCCTGCTGTCCCTGGGACTGGCTTTGACCTTGGTGTCCCCATCTCCCCGGCCCCCTTTCTCCTGCTCCCTGCCCTCTGCCTCTGGCCTCCCACTGCCCTCCTCTGTGGTAGCCCCCGGGGAGGCGCCCTGGGTCTTGCGCCACTCTGTCCGGCGATAGACGAGGTAGCCGGTGGTGGGGAGCTGGTGGGCCAGGGCTCCGGGGGGCAGGTGGTGGTAGTCCTCCTCCTTGTATAGGAAGAGGCCGAAAGTGTCAGGCTGGGTCACCCGGAACTTGGTGGCACAGAGCTTATTCAGCATGGCAATCGAGGCCCCTGGGGGCATGGCTAGCGTCTTGGAGGTACAGCCACTGCTGGGGTCCTGATAGGCTACGCGGAGGAGGTGCTGTGCAGGAGAAGCAAAATCAAGAACTCAGTCCTGCCTGGTGCAAATCTGGCTGCAAAGCTTGAGGTCTCAGTAGAAGCTCTGCAGGAACAGGGCTGGGATGGTACATATCCAGTGGTAGAACCAGTGGCAAAAGCTTTTTGAATAAGGTGAGCTCTGAGCAGGGGCTCTGAGGAAGGGAGGGACGTGCTTGGGCTAGCGGGTCACAGCTGCAGGCTCGAAGGACGCCCCAGCAGGCCTCTACAGCCTAACAATCCTACTCAGGTGGAGATTACTCTGCGCCCTCAGCACTTGTCCTGAATTAACCCATTTCATCCAAATATCAACCCCAGGAGGTAGATACTATTACCCCATTTTATAGACAAGAAAATTGAGGCACAAAGAGGTTATATAACTTGCCCAAGCTCCCAGAGCCAAAAAGCAGCAGAGCCAGCATTTGGATCCAGGATCTGGCTATCAAATCTGGACTCTTAGCCAAGGCTAGAAAGGGTCCCTTGACTGGATGGAAGGAGGGTGAAGGGCAGAGATGCTGTTTGGCTCTGAGGACACCACACCTGAGCCCAGATGGGAGGGTATGGGGGTCACGGGCTGGAAGCCTGAGTCCAGTTTGGGGCCAGAAGCCAGGATCTGCCTGTGTCCCTTTCCCTCCCCATGTCATGTCTCAGTTTCCTCATCTGTAAAATGGGGATAATAATGATCCCACTTCAGAGTTTCTGTGAAGATTCAAGGCTGGGCCGCCAGAGCACTGAGCACAGTGCCGGCTCGTGGAACGCAGCCTCCAGAAAGGCTGGCTCGGACGTGTGTTGCGCACGGGGGGTGATGCAGGACTGGCCTTTCCCCTTCCCCCTCCTTTCCTGGGTCTCACTGGGGAAAGGACAGGGCTGCGCCAGACAATGCCAGACTCCCCCCAGAGTTGGCCAGTCCTGTTACCTGGAAGCTGTGGGTGGCGGGCAGGCGGCGCTGCTCCCAGAGGTTGAGGGAGGACTGCAGTTCCTGCGAAGGGCTCAGCGGGAGGGTGTGGGCCTCGTTCAGGCCACTCAGCAGGACCAGGCTGGCCGAGAGGCTGGTCAGGTAGTAGCCACCTGGGACACAAGGGGAGGAATGCGGCTCAGGCTGGGCGTGAGTGACCTGCTCCTTCCGCCTCCTCTGCTCAGTCAGGGCGCCCCAGCCCCACCCAGACAAAAGGGGCGTGTGTGGGGTTCCTCACCCTCTCCAGTGAGCAAGGCAGGCTCCAGCAGCTCTGACATGTACTCGGCCTCCAGCAGCAGCTCAGGAAGGTCGCACTGGGCCAGGACGAGGCTCAGCAGTGGGAGGAATTCATCGGCCCCTGCACCCTCCCCTGTGGGTGGTGGAGGAGGAAGTTTCAGGCTTCTCTGGGGCCCCAGGGTCAGAATCCACTAGTTGTCTTAGATAAGGACCCTCCCCTCCTCCTGCCAGGCCTTGGGCATTGTGGTTTCTATGGCAACCAGGGGGCAAGGCCTGGGGAGTGGATGCTCTGCTTTCTGGGCCACAGTTTTACCATCTGTGAAATGGGAGGGTTGGGCCCCTTTTTTTTTTTTTTCCCCCTCCCTGCTGTGCCATTCCTGGAGCCTCTGCCTCTGACTTGGCAGGGGCCAGTGGGAGGTGGTGGGAGGGGGCATACCTGCCTGGGTCCTCAAGGCTGTGTAGAGCAGCTTGCAGGCCTGCAGGAGCCGCTTGACCTGGGCGCTGGGTGAGTAGGCACGAAGTAGCTGCAGTAGCTTCTGGCGCACCTGTTCCATCTCTACTGGGGAGGGCAGGCTTAAGTGGGACCCGAAGGCTCTGGGGCCCTGGGCCCGGGCCAGGCAGAAGCCTTCAGCCAGGCGGCCCAGGGAGCCGTTGGCGGAAAGACGGCGCCGCAAGCGGGCCACCAGGATGGGCCGGAGAGGCTTGAGCACGGAGTGATGCAGCGACTTCTCCAGGACGCATTCTGCGGGGGAGAGGTAGGCAGGGGTCAGGGGAACCAGGGGAGCAGAGTCCCTGGGAGGAAAGGCATGATCAGGAGAGGGGAGGGATGAAAAAGAGGAGGAACCTTGGGACTTCCCTGGTGGCGCAGTGGTTAAGAATCCACCTGCCAATGTAGGGGACACAGGTTCGATCCCTGGTCTGGGAAGATCCCACATGCCGCGGAGCAACTAAGCCCGTGTGCGACAACTACTGAGCCTGTGCGCCACAACTACTGAAGCCCGTAAGCCTAGAGCCCATGCTCTGCAACAAGAGAAGCCACCACAATGAGAAGCCTGCTCACCACAACAAAGAGAAGCCCCTGCTCGCCGCAGCTACAGAAAGCCGCGTTCAGCAACGAAGACCCAACGCGGCCAAAAATAAAATAAATAATAAATTAAAAAAAGATTTGGAAACTTGGTGACAGGGAGGCAGGCGGTGGACAGAATTTGCTTGAATGGTGGTGAGACAAGGTGGGTTTGTAAAGCTGCAGAACAGACTGAGAGACAGACTGGCAGTGTGCGGAGGCAGAGAGAGTGGCAGAGCCCCGGGCTGGAGTCTCACCCAGCCTTTCTGGTGGCAGCAGCTTCTCCGGGCCCAGCTCCGCGCTCAGCATGGCTCGGGCCCGGCTCAGCGCCTCCCGGATGCCCTGCAGCTCCTGGGTCTCAGGGCCGGCCCGCACCTGGGTCAGTAGGTCCTGCACCAGCTGGCCCACGGCTGTGTGTCGGTCCTGCATCAGCGCTGCGGCTGCCCGGCCCACCTGCCGCTCGGGCGCCAGCAGGGAGCAGAAGGCAGCGCTCATGGACCGAAGCAGGGGCCGCCGGCGGCCCAGGCGGGGTGAGGTTGCTGGGCTCCCCTGGGACCCTGGCACCCCCTCCTCCTCTGAGCTGCTGGGGGAGCCGCAATCCACCTCCTGGAGGGAAGGCAGGGGCGGGAGGCTGGGGCCGGTGCCCCCTGGCACACGGTACCCCACTGAGCTCTCCCTCCGCAGCAGCTGGCGAGAGGGCAACCTTTCTGTCTGGTTGGGGGCTGTCCCTGGCAGCACTGGGACTGGGGGAGGCGGCACAGCTGGTGGAGACAGGGGGCTGGAGGTCTCTGTGGACACACGCACTTTGAAGCTCCTCTTGAATTTCTCCCGCTTGGTGGGGCCCAGGTCCCCTGGGAACAAGGGGTTGAAGAAACACAAGGCAGCTCCAGTGCCCTGGTCCAGCTCTTGTGGGGACCGGGGCTTCAGCCTGGGCAGCAGTGGGCCTTCAGATGGGCCTGGCTGAGCCTTGGTGTTGAGGGAGGAGCTCCAGAACTCTAGGGAAGAGAAACAGGTTGGGACCTCTGGGGGTTCAGGGAGGGGGCCCAACCGAGGGAAAGGCACAGGCTTCAGGCTGTGTGCCCATGCCTTCCCTGTCCCTCTTGGCCTCAGCTTGTCCATCTGAGCAGCGGGTAGCAGGGGAGCCCTTACCAATGCCCAGATGGGAGATGGCTTCCAGCTCCTTGCGGGTGGCTGCCTGGCAGATGGCTCTGGGGAGCTGAAGCGGGAGGAGAAGAATGTCCCTGAGGAGCAAAAAGTCAGGAGTGAGGAAAGCTCCGGGCTGCGGGCACTGAGAGCATCTGCGTGGGAGGAGGACAGGGTATCCCAGGGAGCAGGGCCCCATGGACAGCGGGCGCCCTGCAGGCAGGCTCACCGGGTGTGGCAGTAGGCACAGATGAGCTGGACCAGGTCCAGGAACACAAGCTGTGAGCCTTCCAAGGAGACGCCTGAGAGACGGGAAGTGAGGTTGTTCTCTGGGGAACCCCGGTGCCCTGCCTTGATGGCTTCCAGCCCCTCCCGCCAGGCCGGTCCCTCTCACCCCCAGGGCTCTCCTGGATGTAGTGGCTGGAGACGAAGGAGGGGCCGCTGGCTTCGGGCAGCCGCATGCACAAGGCTTGGCACTGGCGAGTGTTAGATTTCCGTACCAGGAATGTCTGCGAGTCGACAGGGGTCGGAGGCTCAGGACCTCCGCGTCCAGCCCCTCTCCCTCCCACCCTCGGCCACCAGCCCCAGGGGTGGGGGAAGACTCACCCCGGGGAGCTCGGTCCTCAGCACGTGCAGCGCGGCCGCGGCGTTGGCCCGCAGCTGCAGCCACACGGGCCGGGTAAGCAGCAGGCGCTCCCGCAGGCTCACGGTGCGCCCGGGCTGCTGGGGCCCACCTGCTCGTGCCCCGCCGGCATCAGGCACATCGTACAGCGGGTCCTGGGCTGGCCTGGGGGCAGGCGCCAGACCTGAGCAGGGGGCCAGGGGCTGGGAACCTTGCCCAACCCTCTCCCCCTCCTTGCCCCAGGACAGACCCAGTTCTGTGGTCCCCCCGCCCCCTGCCCCACCGGGTTGCCCTTCCAACTTCACTAACTTTTCTCTCTCCAGGTGCCCAGGTGCGAAGCTGGTTGGGCTGGGGACTCCGAGAAGGCCTGCTCCAGACTCTCCAGGGGCTTCCATGGCTGGGAGATCCTTCGGTATCTCCGGGGACTCAGGAAGAGAATCCAGCCCCCAAGGCAAGAGCACTCACATTCCCAGTGGTGAGTAACACTTCCTGAGGGCGGTTCGCCCTGTCACAGCCGCCAGTTAACTCTTGTGTGTCCACTCAGCCCGGGCAGTGCCTGCTTCCTCTGTTCTGGGCCCAGCCTCTGGGGGCAGGGATCGTCTCCATGCAAGTGGCCCCCCGAGGGCCCCAGCTGTGGGGTTACCACCTCCACACAGTGCGTCCTGCAGCCTTGCCAGCCTCCTCGAATCATACAGGTGGGCAGGAAGGGGTTAAGCAGGGCCTATCTAGGTCCCCACAGGCCTCGCCTTCGGGGCACCTTTACATCTGTGGTCAACTGCTCATCTGTCCACCGTCTTGAGGTCAGCCTTGTGGGAGAGCGCCCCCTACAGGTCACCGATGACGCATTCCTGAGCTTAACTTGCGTTTTGGGATTTCAGGTTGCCGTGGAGAAAGGATGCTGTGTCTCCATGGAAACTAACCTCTTTGCTTAACTGAGGTTCTGGGGGTGGTTCTAACAGTCAGCGCTAAACAGGGGGGAGTCTGGCTGTGAGGTCGTCAGAACATGGCGCTGCTGCCAGCTGCCTCCCACGCACACAGGCTCTGCCAGCCTGCCTTGCCAATCTACCAAGTGACTGGGGCAGGTGCAGACATGATCCAGTCTCCAAGCACCGAGTACCCAGTCCTTGTCCCCACCCAAAGCCACGTGCTCTGCCTGTGCCACATGTTGCTTCAGACATTGCTCACCAGCACCAGGCAGTCCAGGGCCCAGCCCCCCACCGCTGGGGAGCAGGCGAGTGGGAGAACCCCCCTTCCCCAGGCTACACCCCAAGTCAGAGTGGGTAGGCTCCCGTTAGGCAGTGAGAAGAGGTACCAGGGACCCCAGAAGAGACTGCCTGTCACAAGCACTCTCCATAAGAGCCCTGATTCTCTTGCAAGGTAAATTAGACACACGCTGCTCACGCCAGAGTCCCAGAAAAGGTTTTAATTCCAGCCCCTGAAATCTGGGAGGCGGACACCAGGAACCGCCTTGAGAAGGAAGACCTGGGGAGCCTGCCTTCTCACCTCCAGCAACAGCCAGGACACAAAGGTCCCCCAAATATCATTTCTGGCCCAGAGTTCCCGTGAAGTGGGACCCAGCTCACTGGCTTGGTGACTAGGGAGCCGGGTCCAAGTCAGCAGAAAGGATGTTGCTTTGGCTTAAGATGAGACACATCTTCATCAGGAAGGGCACCGTGAAGGCTGACCTTCGGTGGGGGCAGGTGGTGGGCTGGCCGGGGATGGAGGAGACAGTGTTGCCTGGCTAAGGGAGCTCCAGGCCACAGTTGAACAGGGCCCCGAGGAGGGGCAGAGGAGGAGTCCAGACCAGTGGCGGCTGGAGGGGAGGGCCACGGCAGCACTGGAGGGCTGGCTGGGCAGATGCTGAGGGGCCTGTCAGTCTGCCTTTCTGCAGCAGGTAAGTTCAAATGCTGGGTTTGCTGCCAGCTGCTCCAAGGGCCCCCTGGCTGTGAACAGCAGGGTCAAGGTCCTGGGGGTACACAGGAAGGGAAAAATCACTGCAGGTGAGAGGATGCCGAACCAAGAGGGAAGCAGGCATTTCATATGGGGGACTGAGAGGAGTGGCCTCAGTCTGGCCCAGAGCAGGCAAGGCCAGGAGGGCACAGGTCCGCTCCACACCCCTGATTCCTGGGCCTCTCTGGTACTCTGCGCCCACCAGGCCGGCTGCTAGGGCTCAGCACTCCACCCTCCCTAACCAGAGCTGGCGGGGCGGGTCCATCACCTAGCCCCATTACCCACCCCCTGCCCTAGCTCCCACAATGCCCTCACACCCAGACCGTCCTGACTCTCTCAGGCCACTGATCTGACACAGACCCTGCCTCCCTCTGGGCTCCTTTCCTGGAAGCTGGGCTGGGGGAGGAAGAACAACACCGGTGGTTTGTGGGGTTTTTTGACCAGGGATCGAACGTGCGCCCCCTGCAGTGGAAGCGAGGAATCTTAACCACTGGACCGTCAGGGAAGTCCGGACCCTGCCGGTTCTTACCATCTGGTTTTCTCTTCTGAGGGGACACGGCTGCTCTTGCCTGGGTGGGTAAGAAGAAAACCCCCCTGAGAGCCTGCCTCCAGCTTGGCAAGTCCCCCTTCCACCATGAGCCTTTCTGGGGTGGAGGCGCTGCTGGGTCCGGGCTGCACTAGAGGGGTTGCCGGGGGATAAGACCCCTTCTAGGCAAAGGTTTGATGTGCTCTCCTGTCAGAGACTCAGGCAGCCCAGCTGCTTTCCCGCCTTCCTGCCCTCCCTTTACCCCCACACCCCATCAAAACCTGCCCTGCAACAAGGAAGGGGCTGATGTAGACTAGGGACTCCCTCCTCCAGAACAGCCTCAGGCCAAACGAGGCTTGTGGGCTCAAGCAATGCCAGGGAACCTGGGCTGAAGGCAGAGGGTGCCGAGGGCTGAGCAGAGAGCTTCCCAGGCCCTCAGGAAGCCCACACGTGGAGAGCCTGCAAAGACCAAAGCTGGCGTCTGGTTGGGGAGGGGGCGCTGCACTGCCAGCCCCCATCCTGATACAGGCAGCACCAGACCCACCTTTTTGATGGCTGTCCAGTCCTCCAGGATGTCGATCTCCTGCAGCATGTACACGATGTAAGGGCCTGCAATGGGGGTCAAGGAAGCAGGAAGCCTGGTGGAGGGGGCAGGTGACGGGCCTTGGCCCGGGAGCTCCAACACTCAGAAGACGTGGTGCTGTGGACAGCGGGGCAGGGAGCCGAGGACCTAGTTAAGAGCTCAGGCTCCACCTCCTACCTCTGGGCCCCCAGGTTCTCGGCAGGGTGAAGGGGTGGCATGGCTATGGCCTATTTCACCCACTCCATGGGGGCCTTCCAGCCTCAACCCTACTACTCCTCAGCTCCCCTCACCTCTTCTCCAGTCTCAGGGTCAGAAGGCCAAGGTCCATGCTCCCCACTCAGGGATCTGGCCCCTTTCTCCATCTACAAAGAGACTCTAGTCTCCTCTGTCCTGAAAACAACCCTCCTTCGGTCTCACACTCCCCTGTGGGGACCAGCCACTCTGTCCCCCTGATGTCTCCACACCCTCACCTCCCATTCACCCAAGTCTCTGCAGTCCAGATTCTTTCCTCCCTCCCTGCGTGAACCTGATTCTCACCACCAGGAGGTCAGTGCCCTGAGAATCTGGTTGCTGCAGGAATATGAGGGGTGGGGTGGGGTGCACAAGAGAATTCAATTCAACTCCGTGCTGCTGTGCCAGGAGGGAGGAAGGCACAGCAGGCCCTGGACCAAAGGGACGCACGCCTGGGGCGGGGCAGAGATGACCATGCCCAGATGGGAGGCAGGTGCCCCAGTTTAGGTACAGGGGTAATACCTAAATAGCCATTTCGGCGGGGAAACCAGGAGAGGCTTCGTGGAGGAAGTAACAACTGAGACGAGCACTGAGCAGGCACACAGGCAAAGGCAGCCGATAGGAGAATGGAAAGACAGCAAAGGCATGGGGGTCGGAAAGCCTGGGACATCATGGGAAAGCCAGAAGGGCCTCAAAGGAGATCTCACTCAGGAAATTATGGGGAAATCTCTGGATGGATGTTTCTATTTTTTTACGGTCCACACAGCCTAGGAGGACCCTGCAAAAAATCCCTGACGGCTGGCTTTGACTGGACATGGCCACAGGATGCCAGATGACCATAAATGAGTCTGGCATGCCTCTGTCTTCTGTGTCCCTCCACCCTCTCCACCCTGACCTCTCGCCCAGCTCAGGCCACCGTGGGGGAAAGGATACCGGAAACAAGAGGGGCCTTCTTCCTCTTGCTGGGCGGCACGGAGCCCCAGGTCTTCGAGCTGCCTCTGGCGTGCAGTTTGTCATCCCACCACTCTGTGCCCCAGACCATGGTCAGGATTGGGGTGCCGGCCATCCCAGGACGCCCCACCCCTGTAGCCTGCGTCCCTCACCCGGGCCAGGCCAGCCCTTCCCCATCACTCACGCCCCTACCCCAACCAGGGCAGTGCAGAGAAGCCTGGGCTTGGGGTTGGAAGCTGAGTTCAACCCTGGGAAAGAGGTCACCGTGATTTTGTGAGCCTCGCTTTCTTCATCTGTTTCATGGACAGGGGTACGATAATAATTCCTCCCTCCCCAGTGCCCTGTATGAACGTCGGCCTGTGGACATGGCACGTGCGTGTGTCAGAATGACACCCGTTCTGGAA